AAGCTTCGCGGGAGAAATATTCAAGGGGAATGCTTTTGTTAACGCTCGTCCCCGGACCTCCGGCTTTTTTTACAAGCCTTATGAATTAACAAAACAAAATGTTCTTTTTTAAAAGGACTAAGAAGCGCATTTAAATATTTTGAATGAGTATTTGTGTTGCTGTTTTCTTTATTTTTCTTGTAAGGCCTAGGCTTTCAGAATTTCAGGAAAATTGCAAAAAAAAAAACTTAAATGGTTTATTTGCTAAAAATTACAAACAAAAATCCAAAAATATAACGTACCCATGGAACTTCATGGCCTTTCCAAATATTGAAATGCCCCTAGTTTCCTTAAAATCTATCAAATTTTAAACTAATATTCAAGTATTTTCCAGAAAGGGTCAGGCCCATTTAAATAAAAAAAACAAACTCAGTAAAACTATTGGAAAATAAATTTATTTTCCGGAAAAGTCAGGCCCATTTAAAATTTTAAAATCCTTAAAATCCTGAAAACCCTTGAAATTTTGAAAGCCCGGACCTTTCAATATTTTAAGGATTTTAAGGAATTTAAGGCATTTTAAATTCTTAAAATCCTTAAAATCCTTAAAATTTTGAAAGAAAATTAAATTATTTTCCGGAAAGAGGCAGGCCCATTTAAAATTTTAAAAATCCTTAAAATCCTTAAAATCCTTAAAATTTTGAAAGCCCGGGCCTTTCAAAATTTTAAGGATTTTAAGGAATTTAAGGCCTTTTAAATTTCTTAAAATCCTTAAAATCCTTAAAATCCTTAAATTTTGAAAGAAAATTAAATTATTTTCCGGAAAGAGGCAGGCCCATTTAAAATTTTAAAAATCCTTAAAATCCTTAAAATCCTTAAAATTTTGAAAGGTTGGGGCTTTCAAAATTTTAAGGATTTTAAGGAATTTAAGGCCTTTAAATTTCTTAAAATCCTTAAAATCCTTAAAATTTTGAAAGAAAATTAAATTATTTTCCGGAAAGAGGCAGGCCCATTTAAAATTTTAAAAATCCTTAAAATCCTTAAAATCCTTAAAATTTTGAAAGGTTGGGGCTTTCAAAATTTTAAGGATTTTAAGGAATTTAAGGCCTTTTAAATTTCTTAAAATCCTTAAAATCCTTAAAATCCTTAAAATTTTGAAAGAAAATTAAATCATTTTCCGGAAAGAGGCAGGCCCATTTAAAATTTTAAAAATCCTTAAAATCCTTAAAATCCTTAAAATTTTGAAAGCCCGGGCCTTTCAAAATTTTAAGGATTTTAAGGAATTTAAGGCCTTTTAAATTTCTTAAAATCCTTAAAATCCTTAAAATTTTGAAAGAAAATTAAATTATTTTCCGGAAAGAGGCAGGCCCATTTAAAATTTTAAAAATCCTTAAAATCCTTAAAATCCTTAAAATTTTGAAAGCCCGGGCCTTTCAAAATTTTAAGGATTTTAAGGAATTTAAGGCCTTTTAAATTTCTTAAAATCCTTAAAATCCTTAAAATCCTTAAAATTTTGAAAGAAAATTAAATTATTTTCCGGAAAGAGGCAGGCCCATTTAAAATTTTAAAAATCCTTAAAATCCTTAAAATCCTTAAAATTTTGAAAGCCCGGGCCTTTTAAAATTTTAAGGATTTTAAGGAATTTAAGGCCTTTTAAATTTCTTAAAATCCTTAAAATCCTTAAAATTTTGAAAGAAAATTAAATCATTTTCCGGAAAGAGGCAGGCCCATTTAAAATTTTAAAAATCCTTAAAATCCTTAAAATCCTTAAAATTTGAAAGGTTGGGGCTTTCAAAATTTTAAGGATTTTAAGGAATTTAAGGCCTTTTAAATTTCTTAAAATCCTTAAAATCCTTAAAATTTTGAAAGAAAATTAAATATTTTCCGGAAAGAGGCAGGCCCATTTAAAATTTTAAAAATCCTTAAAATCCTTAAAATCCTTAAAATTTTGAAAGCCCGGGCCTTTCAAAATTTTTAGGATTTTAAGGGTTTAAGGCCTTTTAAATTTCTTAAAATCCTTAAAATCCTTAAAATTTTGAAAGAAAATTAAATTATTTTCCGGAAAGAGGCAGGCCCATTTAAAATTTTAAAAATCCTTAAAATCCTTAAAATCCTTAAAATTTTGAAAGGTTGGGGCTTTCAAAATTTTAAGGATTTTAAGGAATTTAGCGCCTTTTAAATTTCTTAAAATCCTTAAAATCCTTAAAATTTTGAAATAAAATTAAAATATATTCCGGAAAGAGTCAGGCCCATTTAAAATTTTAAAAATCCTTAAAATCCTTAAAATCCTTAAAATTTTGAAAGCCCCAACCTTTCAAAATTTTAAGGGTTTTAAGGATTTTAAGGATTTTTAAAATTTTAAATGGGCCTGCCTCTTTCCGGAAAATGATTTAATTTTCTTTCAAAATTTTAAGGATTTTAAGGATTTTAAGAAATTTAAAAGGCCTTAAATTCCTTAAAATCCTTAAAATTTTGAAAGCCCCAACTTTCAAAATTTTAAGGATTTTAAGGATTTTAAGGATTTTTAAAATTTTAAATGGGCCTGCCTCTTTCCGGAAAATGATTTAATTTTCTTTCAAAATTTTAAGGATTTTAAGGATTTTAAGAAATTTAAAAGGCCTTAAATTCCTTAAAATCCTTAAAATTTTGAAAGCCCCAACCTTTCAAAATTTTAAGGATTTTAAGGATTTTAAGGATTTTTAAAGTTTTAAATGGGCCTGCCTCTTTCCGGAAAATAATATAATTTTCTTTCAAAATTTTCAGGATTTTAAGGATTTTAAGAAATTTAAAAGGCCTTAAATTCCTTAAAATCCATAAAATTTTGAAAGGCCCGGGCTTTCAAAATTTTAAGGATTTTAAGGATTTTAAGGATTTTTAAAATTTTAAATGGGCCTGCCTCTTTCCGGAAAATAATTTAATTTTCTTTCAAAATTTTAAGGATTTTAAGGATTTTAAGAAATTTAAAAGGCCTTAAATTCCTTAAAATCCTTAAAATTTTGAAAGGCCCGGGCTTTCAAAATTTTAAGGATTTTAAGGATTTTAAGGATTTTTAAAATTTTAAATGGGCCTGCCTCTTTCCGGAAAATATTTAATTTTCTTTCAATTTTTTTAAGGATTTTAAGGTTTTTAAGAAATTTAAAAGGCCTTAAATTCCTTAAAAAAAATTTTGAAAGCCCCAACTTTCAAAATTTTAAGGATTTTAAGGATTTTAAGGATTTTTAAAATTTTAAATGGGCCTGCCTCTTTCCGGAAAATAATTTAATTTTCTTTCAAAATTTTAAGGATTTTAAGGATTTTAAGAATTTTAAAAGGCCTTAAATTCCTTAAAATCCTTAAAATTTTGAAAGCCCCAACCTTTCAAAATTTTAAGGATTTTAAGGATTTTAAGGATTTTTAAAATTTTAAATGGGCCTGCCTCTTTCCGGAAAATGATTTAATTTTCTTTCAAAATTTTAAGGATTTTAAGGATTTTAAGGATTTTAAGAAATTTAAAAGGCCTTAAATTCCTTAAAATCCTTAAAATTTTGAAAGCCCCAACCTTTCAAAATTTTAAGGATTTTAAGGATTTTAAGGATTTTTAAAATTTTAAATGGGCCTGCCTCTTTCCGGAAAATAATTTAATTTTCTTTCAAAATTTTAAGGATTTTAAGGATTTTAAGAAATTTAAAAGGCCTTAAATTCCTTAAAATCCTTAAAATTTTGAAAGGCCCGGGCTTTCAAAATTTTAAGGATTTTAAGGATTTTAAGGAATTTTAAATGGGCCTGCCTCTTTCCGGAAAATAATTTAATTTTCTTTCAAAATTTTAAGGATTTTAAGGATTTTAAGAAATTTAAAAGGCCTTAAATTCCTTAAAATCCTTAAAATTTTGAAAGGTCCGGGCTTTCAAAATTTTAAGGATTTTGTGGTCCTTTTAAAATTTTGGAAAACCCCTAAATTCCTTAAAATCCTTAAAGTTTTGGAAGGCGAAGCAGGACCGTCAAATAACGCATAAAGGTCCTACATACATCGCCCTATATGCCCGGAACCTGGATGTCCAAGTCCAACATTCGTCATTGGGCTTGAGTTCAGCACAACTCAATGCAAGGCACAGTGCAGCATTGACGCAGAGAGTGCGTCACATGCAAGTGTACCTGTCTGACTTGCCCCTGCACCTGCCTGACTTGCCGTAATCGTAAGATGCCCAGAGGACCATCCAGTGGCCATCGACTTCGCATACAGCCACTGATGGCGTCAGATTAGGTTTAGAATTGGCGCAAAAGCAGAGTTGAGAACCACACAGCATCCTATCAACGTGCAGAGCCCCACCCCCCCCCCCCCCCCCCCCCCCCCCCCACACCTAAACACCAACTCTCCCCCAAATCCAGATCCCAAACCCGCATCAAGCCCTTGAATCACAAATAGCCGAGCAGCAACCTGCCTTCGGCGCATGGGGCGACATGGACTTCAAGGTGCGACTCGAAACCCGAAGCATGCGACCCGAAACTCTCTAATCCCCGAAACCCTAAACCCTACACGCGACACCTGGAACCCTAATTCATCCCGAAGCCCGAAGCTGCAAACCCTACCAGCAGTCTTGCAAGCCAAGAGTCCCCAAGCCCCAAAGGTCCTGTGTGGCCCTTCAACGCTATTCAATCAGAAGCCCCAGGAACCGTGAAGTAGCACATGGCGACTCCTGGCGCATCTGAACCAGACCCCCCGAGCCCGGTCCTAAGCAGTGAAGTTGAGGGTGTAAGTTGGTTTTGGAAGGGTTTGGGGAGTTTAAGGCAAGTAATTGCCAAAAGGGCAACTTCAAGCAAGGCTCTTGACCCCTCAACCCTATAGTTAAACCTTATAATCCTTGAGCCCTGTGTCGATTCAGAGGCCCCTCATCTCCCTCCCGGCCGCGGCAGCCTGCGCCACTGGTGGAGTTGGTGTTGGAGCTTCAGGAGGATGGCTGTAGCAGCTGTCGCAAGATGCAGCTCTATTTTCAAGAGGCCGCAGAAGTCGGACCGATTCACAGTCCTTCCCACCTTTCGTGTCCTTAATGTGCACCGGGGCCGAAGAGAAGCCCCGCAAGATCTCCACCTGGTGGTTGCCTGGTGGTTTCCGAATCGTTCATTCACATGCTTGCCGGGAGGAGTTGCGGGCCTACCTCTTCTTATTCATGGAGGCCACCGACTCTTGGGGAACCCCCGAAGCCCCACAGAATTCGTCGCCCTTTCTACGGCCCTTTGCCTCCTCCAGCTCCAAGAAACTGCGTTTTACAGAGCTTGCTTACAGTTTAAAAGGCTTGAGGCTTCCCGAAACCCTCAACTCTCCAGCTCCAGGTGGCTTGCCTTGGGCAGGCGGCGCCCACGTGCTCCCAGCTTCGCAGCTTGGCGTTCAGCATCGTTTAAGTTGCTTCCGTTAGGAGCTTGGAGTGTACAGCACCAGCCCTAACACAGAAACGAATTGGCTCCTCGCATCCCAAGTATTTTCGGAGTTCTGCAATCTACGCAGCGCGCTTGAGGTAACGGCCTGTGGTCCGATGCAGCTTTCTGGAAGGCCATAATACTATAAGAACAGCATCATATAGTGATAGAATCTAATAATACAAGGATATAGGAATATTAGAACATAACCGTATATTCATATCAAAATTATCACAATAGCTCATGAGAAGCTTACGATGACATTCGCGGGTGCCTGGCCTCCATTCTTTAATTCAGCAGCCTGGAAATGGGCCTTAGAGCATGTGGAATGCCAATGTCCTAGGCTCTGAGTCCCAGGTTTTGGGGCGTGCCGAGGTAATTAAAGGAGACAGCGAAAGCCAGCATTGAGACAGCCAGCAGGCGTATGCCGGCGTTTGCCTGAAAGAACACTGGCGAGAAGCCAACGCTGCGATCTTGAGGCAGGGCGATGGCTACCTGAGATGTTCTCTAGCCTTCAATTACACAAGCTTGAGAATACTTAGCGAATCATTGTTGTGCTCAGACCTAATTGTAGCTGCCTTCTTCGCTTCTTCCTCTCATCCTCCAAGCCTCAGCAGACGATTCGCTGGCCAGGGAGCGATTTCGAGTCTGGCTCTTCCACCTCGAGGGAGAATGGGAGAAAGACTTCGCTGAAGTCATTGAGCAGGACGAGTTTATGACGCTTCATGGTTTCAGTTTGTGAACATCGGCCCTTCAATGGGAAGCAGCCTCACTGGTGACTTCTTCTCATCTATACCTTCGGCTGTGCGATCCAAGCTGCGCTGTTTAGTGGTCTACATATCTGGTCTTAGGCTTTGAAGCTTACATACAGGGTTGAGTACTTGTAAACGCCGCGTGTCGACTGCTCGGCCTGGTAACCCTGAGCCCTGAACGTCCAACACCAAAGGCGGGTCTTTACGTGGGCTCCCTTGAATACGGCCCCTTACCTTTTCGAAAGGGTTCTGAAGTATTGCGGCTACATAAGGTTTCCAAAAGTCGGGGCCCATACGAAGGACTAAGGACCCTTGCAACTACCCGAAGCCAAAGGCGTGCCGATCCAGACTTGAGTGAACTGTTAAGACTGGAGGATTGCCGCTCTGAGTTCGGAGCCAACTTCTTGCAACTACTTCAGGATGCAAGGCCGAGAGTGGGAGAGTTCTGCAAGATCTGAGGGCTAAATGTACTACAGTTACTACAGGCCCTCTTCTGGCCTCACATGGGGTGCCATGGTCACAGTCCCAATCTTGACGTGCGCTGCGGGCATCCTTCAGGTACATCGCGTCGGCTTCTCAGCTGCTAGCCAACCACAGTTTGGCTTCGAGTCTACTCTGGTTTGCACACGGCTAGCTCAGCGACTGAAAGGCCACACGCACACAAGCAACATCTACAAGTCTTGCAGCAGAGTGAGCGCGACAGGAAAGCCTGCAATCCTGGTGAAGTTCGGTGCTTCAAATCAGGTCGGGCCTGATGCCTGCAGACCGGGGCCCGCGAACCGACCAGTTTGTCCAGTTGGTCTGCTCGCTGCTTTCACGGCCCCTGGCCCCAAGTTGAAGTGTTGATGATCTCGGAGGTTCTGGGAAATTCTCCAACATTGGCTTGCCGATTTTTTTGCCTTGCCTCTCCTGAGTGGGGGCGTGAAATGGCGTGAATGCCAGCCGAGGTACAACCCCAAGCAGCTGGATGAGAGATGGGCTGCAGAGAGCTGCCTCTCCAAGGCTGCGGGCCTCGGAGATGGAACTAGGCATTATCTAGGTCCTCACCTCACGACCAGCCAACATCCGTCCAGGGGCCTCGAACCACAAGCGTCCTTGAGATGTGCCAGAAGAACTTGTGAACCTCAATTGAGGACGAATTTCAAGCTTGATACAGAAGAAAGATGTCGTTGAGCTGGTTGCTAGAAAGTTGGGCCTGTGGCAAGGTTGAACAGAGGACCGACGTCTTCGCTGACGATCAGGCATGCGAACTTGAGGTCAGTGGGCGGAAAGGCGTACGAACCCTACAATCTCAAACTGCAAACTGCTTCGTCTGCTAGATCGGATCTTTCGTCCTTAAACCCCAAAAAACTCTAAGCCCCTTTTGAGACCTACATCTATGCCATCAGCAGCAGACTTCAGTTCAACCGAAGATGCCTGACCTCACGGCCCAGAAGGTCTCGCAAGTGGCCGGTGCTTTTGCCGAGCCATCGCCTTGGGGCAGTTTCATTTTGTCGGGGCTTTGGGTTTTTAGGGTTTGGGGTTTGGAGTTTAGGGTTCTACTTTGCCCGAGCACAGCACTGTAGACTAAGGTCGCTGGAAAGGTCCATGCTGGAGCAGCACTTGGAGGCACCCTGCAGGATGTCAGAGCAATAGGTGACCTGCTCACAGTTTCGAGCTTAGGGTTTGGGGTTTCGGGAAGACACTCCCTTGCCAATGTTGCACTGCAACACGTGTTGTTTAACAGAGAGTTGAAGCTGCCCATGCCTGATCGAGTTCCTTTACGCCTGTGAGTCCTCGAATTCAAGCCTCTCAATGTGCTGAGGGTGCTGATGAAGCCCTCTGGGCAGAGCCACTGCCCGAGGGGGCAGCGCGCTCAGACACACAACGCGGGCGCTGCGAAACCATCGTAGCCTACATCCTCAAGCCCTCTGTTACTGTGAACCGTGGAAGTCTAAACCGGTCATTGTTTTTGATGCAAATCATTGGGGAGAAAAAAACATGGAAGGCGTTACCGTCCAGCGTTCATTGGGGGTAAGCGGGTTTGTAACTGCGCACGCTGCGCAAATATGGCACACGTGACGCAGTTATCGTGAGAAACGCGAGAGAACAGGGCCCTAACACGTAGGACAGGTGACTCAGCTATCATGACAGACGCGGGAGAATGCGCTGGGTCAAGCAGAATCTTCACTCATAGCACAAGGGACTCAGCTATCTTGACAAACGCGAGAGAATGCGTCGGATCGAGCAGAATCTTCTAAAATGCACAAGCGACTCAGATATCATCACAAACGCAGGAGAACTCTCTGGATCGAGCAAAGTCCCAATGTATAGACGGGCGACTCAGCTTTCGTGACGATCACGGGAGAACACTCTGGGTCAAACACTGTCCTGAAAAATGGGCCAGCACACTGCGTAAGCTTGGCACAACTGACGCAGTTATCATGAGAAACGCGAGAGAACGATATTTCCATCATAGCACAAGGGACTCAGCTATCTTGACAAACGCGGAAGAATTCGTCGGCTGGCGCACTGGAACAGAACACAACGATTCAAGCTTTCCTCTAAGCTCTAAATACCAACGCGGCTGTGCTTGCCTTGGTTTACGGAGACCGCTGCAGCTTACGCGCAGCTTACGCGCGCCTTACGCACTCCTTACTCTAACAGGTCTGTTTGTTCAGGCATCGTGGATATGTATCGTGGAAGGGCCAGGCGGACCCCAAAATGGGCGTATGCCTTCAAAACGCATCTCCGGTAATCGGGGCATCGGTCACACGGAGCAACAAGTATATCGATCTACCTGCGCCAGAAAACCTCAGTACGTGCAGTTCGGTCTACTCACAACCACCCGGGGCTTCGAAGATAGAACTGATAGAACGCTCGGTACGTGCGCCTCGGTGCGCTCGGTTAGCCAGGGGCTTGGAAGATGAATACCCTGTACCTGCATCTAGGTGTGCAACGGTGCCGTCGTTCGTCTGGGGCTGTCCAAACTTCCCAAGCTCCAAAAAGATTCCCCCCAAAGGCACGGTCACTTGGGAACTTAGATTCACCCTAAAACCCAAGCCCAAATCGGCTCCAACAAGGCTCCCCAAAACGCTTTCAGAATCCAAACAACGCTTCAGGGAGGCTCCAAAAGGATCCCACGGAGGCTTCAGAAAGGCTCCACAAAGATCCCCCCCAAAGGCACGGTCACTCGGAGATGACCCTAAACGTCGTGAATCCCAAATCGTCTCCAACAAGGCACCCCGAGATGCGGTCACTTGGGAACTTTGAGATTTTATAAACAACGTATCAGGCAGGCTCCAACACGCCCAAACATATGATGTTGAAAGCCTTACAAAAACACACAAAAACCAATTGTGGCCTTGCAGTTTGGTTGTTCAAGCGCCGCTTGCAACCGCTGTTGTGTTGCTTCTCAACCCCCTGTGCACAGCTAGCGCTGGCACCTCTCTTGAAGACGAGCCCGTAGCATACGCATGAAACCAAGGGGTGCGACACATGTAGGGACGCACAGCCTGGTGGTGCTGTGTGCCGAAGATGGCAAGCGAATTGTTGTAATCACCTTGCGTTCATTGGGGATTCCAAACGAACACTGGATTTCAGCTGCTTTGCCAGGACCAGGTTGACCCTAGCGTTCCTTCGGGAAATTGAGTTTGTACCATGCTTTGGTGCTGTCTAAAAGGCACTCCGCGCACAGCGTTCATTGGGGAACTCGGATTTGGTAATGTTTTCTTCGCCTTCGCTTGAACCGGTGCGTTCATTGGGGTTTAGATGTGTTGGGTATGGGTGGTTTCGACTTTCAGTGCCGCCTGTAGTTTCTGTAGGGCTTATGTGGGGTCGTCGGCAGGTGCAGCCATGCCTGGCAATGTCTTCATGGTTCTTGGCCGTTGAACTCGAACATTAGCTTAAGGCCTATGGAACTTTAACCCTCAACTAGCCCCCTGATTTGCTGAATTGAGGCGTGGCAGACTTGGGAGCTCGAAGAAGAGGATCCATCTGAGGACGCCTTGGTAGAACTGAGAGGGCCGAGAGTTCAACGCTGAGGTTCTAGGTCTGAGCTGACTCGAGGCTATTTAGACTCATGCCTCCAGGTAAAACGAAAGAGTCAACACGGAAAGGTACAATATTCGTTTGCAGTATATACTTCTAGTTCAGGCTTATAAGCTTCGGGCTACTTGTAGGTCCGAAACTTCCCACCGCTGCACTTGATTCAACGACCACAGCGGCAGCAAGAAAAAGCGTGTGTGTAGCGTTTTATTTTCAAATCACCGTGTGTGGTGACCCCTAAACGCGAAACTGATCATCAGCGTGGCGTGATGCTTGGCTGAAGGACAGCTTTCCCGGCATGAACACAGAGCCGGGCCTCCTTATGCTTGCTTGAGAGAGACAGGCAGTCAGCCTCCTGTCTGAGCACAATCTGCTTAACTAGGGTTCAGCAAGCCACTGTATTTCGTGGCCCAGAAATCCTGCATTACGCCCCTTTAACTCAGCATCTACATTCTGGCGTAGACATAATTGCATGTTTGGATGCAGACACCCTTGGAATTGGCAGCGGTGCTAAGATTTAGTTGCCCCGAGCTCGGCTTAGGGCCATCATAACATTAAGCATGTATGTACCTTCGCCTTCCCAGCGCATGCCCAGTTTTGGAGACTGGTCTCCGACTGCAGCAGTGGAGGAGCCTTGCACCCAGATTTCACTTACGGGCATTTGGCCGAAGTGGCATACATGGCGCAGAAGCAGAAGGAGGAAAAGAGCAGAAGAAGACAGAGAGTCTGGGCAGCCAGTACCCAGGACTTCGAGCCACAGGAGCAGTGAAGCCGTTATTGTTAGGGGAGGTGTCATCAGGCTGTCCCCTCCGGCAGCGGCAGTCCCGCAGAGGGAGGGTACAGCGGAGGACACGGCCGAGAGCAAGTGGAGAAGAACCTCCAGACTCCAGACAAGCTAATCGCATGTGCACTAGAAACAGGGGCTAATGCCAGAGTCCCGGATGACCTGGTTCCGCGATTCACTGGAATCGGGATGGCATCAGCAATAATTGGTGGCCCGTGGTAGCTGACAGCGGGTGGAGAACGTCAGGGAACAGGTGGAACACAGACGCGAATGTCGTAGGGAGCCGAGCCCTCGCAACCTAGTGACTAGCCCTCAACCCTATGAACTACAGTACACCTTTGAAACCAGGGCATGAGGGGGCCCGCAGCACTTGAAGTCAGGTCTGATATGGATCAGCTCCTGAGCCACTGAGAAGCTGCTGGGAGGTTCAGGGGAGGTTTAAGGTTCAGAATTTTGGGCCGACAGCTTCGGCAGCCCTTCCCAGGCAAGGTTTCTGTAGCACTGTTCCCTGAACCGACTGTTGTGAAGCTGTTAGCTCTTCTACGCATAAATCGGCCGATTTATGCAAGATACGCATTCTGAACCCCCGACCTCGAAAGCCCGGTAGCTGGCAAGCGTGCTCCGAAATGTGGCATCCTCAAAGGAGCCACATAGCTTCGGGGAGCGGAAGAACATGTCGAGTACCAAAAGAACGCGTCTCCTGTAAGACGGGCAGTGCTCGTAGCACCTATCGGGCATGCCAACGTGAGGTTGCACGAGCTGGTTGGCGCAACTGAGTGCTGTCCTACGTGCTTTGCGCCTTCCATACTCGTCGGAGCAGGTGCCTTTGAAAAGCTTTTGGCTCCAGAGCAGTTGTGCCAAGTGAAGAAGCATCAGAACAGCATGCACCTTGTCGGACTATGTCATAAGATGCGCGGAGACCAAAACAATAATGTACAGCTTGCGCAAGCACTTTTGCATTTCAGCATGGCTTGGCCTTGACCTTGAGTCTTAGTCTGTCACAGATCGTCTGCGCTTTGCAACATGCAGGGGTGGGATCTGACTAGCATGCTGGGCTCAATGCTCGATTCCTTTGATTCCTGTGCTTGCCTGCGTGGGCTTCGCGCCTGTGCAGGATGTGCACGCCAAGCGAGCGGGCCAGGAATCATTTTCAGCGGCACGGGCTCATCTTGTGCCCAGCCAATGATACGCTGTGCCATCGGAGGTGAGGGTGCCGTTCCTGGTTGCCAGTCCTGCGAAGTTGCTTTACGCTATGGCCGCAGCAACCCAAACTGGAGAAACAACGTGGGGTTGATTGTGAGATGGGAGCAGCCGGATGGTCAGGTGAAGCATGTGCAGATCGACTGCGGCAAAACCTACCGCGAGTCAGTGCTCTCGGTATACAAAGCGCACCAGGTCTTGTCACTGGATGCAGTGCTCCTGACACATGACCATGCTGATGCAATTCTTGGCTTCTTGGCCAAGGGCTTCGGAAATTGCAGTAGTTCATAGTACATCTTGGTACATATAACCTGATATCTGCCTCAAATGTACGGAGGGCCCGAATCTGCCAGGTTTTAATCGGGTGACCCTCCCAGTCCCCCCCATGACTCTGCGACTTCACACTTGCGACTTCACAGGTCTGGATGACCTGCGGCAGGTGCAGCCCTTCGACCCCGTGAAGCGTCAGGTGATGGGCCCGCCGATCCGCTGCTTCTGTGACCGCCGCACGCTGCTGCACTGCCGTGGCCGGGCTAACCTCGCATGTTCTGTGCCATGTGGAGGTCGTTCAAAAAAAAACACTCAAGCTCTAACCTGTTCTGGTCCTTGGCGGTGTAAGTACAGCTCCACAAGACTGCCGAATTGCGTTCTTCTTGCTTGAGACAGTCGAGGACGTGCGTTTCCATATTTGTTCCCCAAGCCGGAGAAGGTCCTTGGCCTTGTGCAGGCTTTCTGCCAGTGCAACAGCGACTGCAATGGCGACTGTGGGCCAGAGCAGATGAGCGATGGGCCCAATCAACCGCAGAAGCTGACACGCTTCGTGGCCAGCATGCAGTGGCAGGACAGAACTTGGCCTGTATAATGACTGCCAACCAGACGCTGCAGTGATCCATGAAGTTAGTGGCACCTATGGCTGCATTGGAAGAAGCACTTAACATGAATCAGCTGCAGATGTTGCAGGAGATTCCCGAGGATACCTCCCCGTTCTCCGTCGATGGCTTCCCGTTCCATGCCCTGCCGGTCCTGCACGGCGCCGACTACACCTGCTTTGGGTATGGCTTCGGCCCACGTGGCTCACGCCTCTTGGTCAGAACTTCCTGCTACACAGCCATCCCCCTCTCCAAAAACACGGGGCAGCCCCCAGGTTTTCTAAACTTCTTACACTAACCGCTAGAACTCTTAACCTCGCATCCTAAAGCCAAGAGGAGTGGTCTACATATCTGACTACACGGCCCTCCTGCCAAAGACCGAAGCTTTGCTTGATCGCTGGAGCCAACAGCCAGCCCGCACCTGAGTGGCAGGATTAGTAGTGTATATTCTGGTGAGTATATATATATATATATCAATATTATGACGATGATGAGTATTGTTATTAGTAGATGGTGATTATTCGAATATTGGCTGTTGCTTTTGCTTCATGTTTGGTGGGGCTTTGCTGTTGTGACTCTCACTGGTTTCCACTTGGCATGAGGAAAGGAGTGTAGTGTTCGATACAGTGGTGCAGTTTAATGCTGAAATTGAAACGCTACGCGACCGGAGCAATTCCAGGTCCATGGGTCCAGAGAGCTAGATTACGGTAGGGTGGGAGCCCATAGGAAGTCAAAAAGGGGGGTGGGTCCAGATCAAAAAACAAGACAGACATCACGGAAAGTCAATTTCCCAGCAAAAGGTCCACCACAGGTACCCTACGCCCGCTCCATTTGAGCTGCGTTTTTTTTAGGCGCTCGAGCATAGGCACTTTGCAGCGGACATTATTATTGTCCGCGGAAGGGGTGAAGAGGTGAACAAGATTGCGCGGAAGGTCGCGGAAGGGTCCGCGGAAGGCGTGGTGTCCGCGGAAGGGTCGCGGAAGGTCAGCGTGCTTGAAACGTAGAACAAAGTATAGGCGCCCAACATGCCGGCAACCAGAAGAATCGCACCACATCACTTTTCCAAGCTGTTTCGGAGAGCGGATCTCCGCGGAAGGCCCGCGGAAGGGTTGCGGAAGCTCCGCGGAAGGCAACGGGTCGTTTTGGAAGCCCAGAGCCCATGGCTCTCCCGTTTCTATGCTTCCCAACCCCTTCCTTAAATTCTCATATACCTGTACCATTAAACCCTTAACCCCTAACCCTTGACCCCCAAGGCCCCTGACCCTCAACCCAAAAGAATCAGGGGTATATACCCAGGTTGCTGATTTTCGTTTCGGGTGAGAAGGTGGCGTCGCGTATTTCCGCGGAAGGCTCGCGGAAGTCACGCGGAATACGCCGCGGAAGGGTGCGCGGAAGGGGTATAATGTCCATCGATTCATGCTAGAGAAAAAACCACGGCTCATTTGCCGGTCGGCTAGGCCGAGCTTTCATTCCAGCCAAGAGAGCCAAAATTAAGGGTGGTGCTGGGAGGAGGAGGGCGGTGGGGACCTGAGAGACTGACAACCTTCCTAAAGAGATCCGAACGCACTCGAATGCCTGCAGAGCCGCATTGCAGGAGCAGGGCATTTGCTTGTAGACTAGGACTTGGCCGACATGCCTCGGCAAAACGTGCCAACTACTACTAAAGATGCAGCACGACGCCTCATGCCCTTTGACAGTCTTTTGATGCCTTTTGCTCCCCGAGCCTAGCAAGGACAGGATCTCCATCTTGATCCTGGATGTCCTCTTCCCTGACGCAACCACCAGCACGGTGCACGCGAACCTGGAGGAGCCGGTGTTTCAGGGCTGCTGTGGGCGAAGGTCGAAGTACAGAAGTGCGAAGCAACCATTATATATATATATATATATATATATATCTATGTATAAATATGTATATTATATATATATATATATATTATTGAACGCTACAAAGGTCCCTAAGCCCACGGGCCCTGGAAGTACAATGCAGAAACAGTGTAGCAGCGAATAGTTAGCTCGTGGTGACTCATCTTACGACCCAACAGCCAAACTGCGCTGAGCCATAACTCCCTGCACAGAGGTAAACCCAAATTCCTTAAACTTTAAACCCCATGCCCTAGTCCCTCCCGGAAGAGCTCCCGCCCCCAGGAGAGTCTGGCATTGGTGCGGCGGTATCGCCCAGAGAAGGACACCGGGCTCTGGGATTCGAAAACCTTGCTTTAAGCCCAACACAGTGTTTTAAGCTTTGTAGAAATCAGGGTTTATGCGTCTTACGCTCTTTGCAGGGTTGAAGGGTCCAGGAATTTAAGATTCATTTGCTTTGACTCCGGCCGGCTTGAGGCCAACTGAAGACGTAGTTGGGGCAGTGCTACTGCTTACAAGTAGCCAGCTTGGGGCCAGCGAAGACAGCTGCCAGTAGTGCCATGTACCAGGCTTAATTATTTCATCCTGAATAAGAGGCTTTCTTCGTCGGGCTTGGCCACTACTGCTGCTTGGCTTCTCCATGTGAGTGGGCACAGTGCTCCCGAAATGTGCAGCATCGGGTTGCGTGGACCCGTTCCTTGCCACTGTGCGCATGAGTTGGTTCCATGGGTTAGTTCTACAATGTTCTACAATTCAACAACCCCAAAGTTACCCCCTCGGAGTCCTAGCAACAGTTAGCCTTCTAACCTTGAAACCCCAAATGCAAAGCCTCCACCGTGCTACAAGTAGTCGAACCGCCAGACCAAAGGCGAGCACTTTGCAATGAACAGGCAGCTTCGCAGCTCGGATCTCATGGAATGTCTGGTACGATGTGTGTGTGTGTGTATTTACGAGCGCGACAGGTTTCGGGGAATGGGCTTCAGGATTCCACCGTGTTCTGCAGCACATCCGACTAGCCTACTGGCAACAGATCCTACAATGAAAGTGACATGAGGCTCATGTGCTGTATAGAAGCAAGCATGCTCATCACTGCCATGACGAGGCAAGCTCTGGTGGACTGAAGGTCTAGATGTGCAGCTGGCCCACGACACTTGGTCTCACAAGGCTTCTTGTATCTCATTTAGGAAGGGGTAGGAAAGAGACACCAAGAAGAGGCTTTCTGGTGACGCTTCTGAGCAGTTGAGGATGGTCTGTTCGTGCCTGCTGAGCTTTCCCCTTTGCCGAGTGATTAGTCGCGATCTCAAAGTTAGACTCGTAGACGTCCCACGCCAAAGGGCTACACACTTGGCACGCTTGGACAAGCTGCTGCGGGGTGCAAAAGCGCAAGAACCTTTGCCGGGTTGGGAGTGCGGGCTGAGCAGGTTCAGCAGCAACACCCTTTGCATGAGAAACCTTGGCTCAACCTGCAAAAATCGCAAAAACCATTCAACAAAAAGCACATTTCCTGCTGAATTAGTGATGTCCGACATCCGGACGTAGTGCTTGATTCTTTCGCCAGCCATGAGCAGCTCTGCCCCAGTGAGGGACATTGCGTTGGTCGGCATCTTGGTCCACAGCCGGACACACTTGTAGTGAGAGCTACAGACTTTTGAATCTACATGAGTAGTTCGCCTTGAGCTTCTTGAAACATATTCTCAGGTGGCAGCAGGGGCTGGGCTCGGGATTGTGGCGCTGCTGGCAGCGCGCCGCCTGCGCAGATGGAAGGCGGGTGTTTGGAGTCGTTAAGAGTGAGTTTGTGCAGTCGAAGAAGCAAGAAGAAGCCATGGAACTCCGCAGGAGCCCACCTGCAGAGCAGAGTGGCTCCGGGAGCCGCCGAAATCAAATCGGCCTCGCGTTGCAGTGGTGGCGACGGGAAGTGTGGCATCGGTGAAGATCCCGGAGCTTGTGGAGAAGCTGAGCAAACTTGCAGAGGTCACGGTGATCCTTACGGCCCCAGGCGAGGTCATGACCAGCCAACGAGTCGCTGGCCGGTATGCGCCAGAGCACTTCCGGGCGTGGGAGGCGCTGCAGCGCAGTGGCGTCCACGTCCTACGGGACGACGACGAGTGGATGGGTTACGAGAACATTTCTTCGGATTCTGTGGTGCATATCGAGCTACGAAGATGGGCAGACGTTGCTTTGGTGGCCCCGTGCTCTGCAAACACACTGGCGAAGCTGGCCTTGGGGCTCTGTGATAATTTGGCCACGTGCTTCTTGAGAGCATGGGACCCTGACAAGCCGCTCCTGATTGCACCTGCCATGAACACCCTCATGTGGGAGCACCCCAGCACACTGCAGCACTTAACCACACTCCAGGCCCGTGGCTCCACCATCATTCCACCAGTCAGCAAGACGCTGGCATGTGGGGATGTGGGCCGGGGCGCCTTGGCCCCGGTCTCCGAGATCCTCCAGGCCGTTGAGAAAGCCTTTGTCGGCGCCACGGCCCGCCGGGCCAGTTCTGGCATCGGATCCTGGCGTGTCTTCGGCTTTGAGGTACGGAGTTCGGGTAAATTGTCGGGCTCATGCCAGGCCTCAGGCTGCCGCTGGTGATATTCCAATGTAGGTGAAACAGTCCAAGCCCCTGCTCCAGGAGTGGCAGCCGGCCAAAGAAGCCTGAAGCCAGATGGACGAGTCCCAGCGCGCGCGCCGCCAAAGTTGACTGAGCTGGGCAGATGATTCTGTGATTGAGCAGAGATCTTCAGATCTTCACGTTCCCTCAGAATCTCCAGCAAGATCGTGCTGCTATGAACTGCACGGTGTTGTGCTAGCTTTGGCTCAGGATCTGAGGCAGGTGTTCACCGGCTCTCGAGCATCGATCAGGGAGTCCTTAGTCCTTATGGGTTGCACTTACCGGCAAAACAGTGTAGCTGCAGGAGTAGGAGCCTATATAGAATGGTGGCGCGCTTCACCTGCAGGGATGGTTCCAGCTGTATGCAGGATCCGATGTCCAAAGCGCGGCTGGCTTATGCCGACGCCCCTACCTGCCCTAGCTCGCGCCCGAGGCTACGGCCACGCAGGCTCACAGCCGCCACAGCGAGTCCACCTCGTGACCAGCGAGGTCCAGGCGAGACAGGCGTGCGCCACTTGGGGGCTCCAAGGTGTCCAAGGTGTCCAAAGAGACCAAGGAGACGGGGAGGTTGAGGAGATGGCGGAGCTACAGGCGGTCCGAAGCCAGCAAGGTCCTGCTGTAGCCTTGGACTGTGAAGGAGTTCGTTTGGGGCGATTCGGACGCATCTGCCTTCTGCAGCTGCAGGATTCCAAGGGCCACGTTCTTCTCTGCGATGCGCTGCGCAAGGGGGTTGTAGAAGCCTTGGCGCCACTTCTCGAGAGCAGGCGCGTCGTCAAGGTGATGCACGACTGTCGTGAAGACAGCGCAGCCCTGTTCCACCAACACGGCATTCAGCTGCGCGCCGTTTTTGACACGCAGGTGGCACATGCCATCTTGGAGAGAAGGGCAGGGCGAGAGGCGTACCAGGCTTCAGCCTCGGAGCTGCTGAAGGAGTACCTGGGCATCGAGCCGGAGCAGACTGAGCTAAAGTCGCGGATGCTCCAAGATCCAGATCTCTGGGCACGGCGCCCTTTGACCAGCGACCTCGTGCGTTATGCACTCCATTCTGTCAGCCACTTACTGCAACTCCACCACAAACTCGTGGCGCGAGGCGACAGTGCGGTCGCCGAGGAGAGTCCTGGATCTGTAGATTACTGAGTAGATGTCTGCTGATTCGAAGGGACTTTGCTCGGAGATTTTGGGCGATTTTTTGACCCTGGGAGGAGTTTGCTCAAGCTTCGAAGCGCACTGTGGAATATCGCCTTCTGAACTCCACCTTTCCAACGGCCCAAAGTATGGCAGCTTGGCCGCACCTGCCCCACAGGTACTCGCCCCGCGAGAGCCGTTGAATAAACAAATGAATCTTGTTACATAGAGCTGTTGTTCGACTTTTCTGGCTTGAGAGCTCTTCTGTGAGCCTGCATGAACTTGACAGAACACATGCACTAGATCGACAGGCGCTTCTGAGGGGGGGAGAGGGGGCCGGGGACTAAAACTGGGCTCTTTGTCATGAATGTATAGATTGAAGCTACCACGATGGAGTGTTAAAGTGTTTTGAAGTTCCTGAACAAGAAGCCACAAAATTCCGAGCTGTCGAAAAGGCCAAGATTGGAACGCGGCTCTGGGCTCTGGTCGCCACCCGGACAGCCGAGTCATGCTGCCTCTGGTTACCGTGAGGGGAAGCACGACTGAAAGGGGCTGTTCGGATCTCTGACGTTCTGGGCTTTTGCGTTTAGGGATTCAGGGATTCAGGGATTGTTGTCGGCACGTGACGCGGCGTTGGCATCGACGTCCTGATTCGAAGGGAAGGCCTCTAGGCTTTAGCCATGAGGCCTTCTCGAAACTCAGGGCATGATCCTCCCTCGCACTCAGTTGGTCACAGAAGGCATTTGCAGCAAACTTGCAGGATGATCCACCTCTGCTGCCCGAAGACCCCTACAAACGTGCAAAAAGCTTCTCACGACTCCAGGTTAAATATGGAACATCTTGAAACCCACGCGACCCCCGCCCTCCCCCACCCTTCAAGACGCAGCTCTGACACCCGGCCAGCAAGCTGCTGCTGAAGCTGAATGCCGGGCGCGTCGGCATGGTCTCCACACCTGGAGCTCTGAGACGCTTCAAGGCTTGCTGTGGGCTTTTCTGGGCTACTGTAGGCCACCCGAACAAACAGGCGCCTCGCGCCATGTATTGGAGCCTTTACGAAGGGCTTTTTGAGATTGCAAGGTTAAGGGCGAAGGATGGTGGTGGGTCGTGGGGGTGCCGGTGCTGGTGGATCTGGTGCCAGTGGTTGTGGTAGAGCTGGTGTGAGGGTTGGGGAAAAGCTAGAACTGCTACCAACTCCAAGTGGCACTTGTTCAATATTCAATTTCGCTGCACTTCACTTCATGACTATAAACGAGAAAACTAATCATATACAGCTGAAGTTTCAAGCCGCAAGAACAATCCGATACATGTGGAGCTCTCGATTGCCTAAGCCTCAACCCCAGCAACCTGCAAAACCCAAGAATCAAATGGAAGACCCCCGCGCGAATCCCGAACCCCAAGCCTACAAGCTCCAAAGCGTGAATCAAGCCCAACACCCGAAATGGCCGCAAGGACGTGCAGCTGGGGGACCTGGTACTTTGCTGCGTCAGTGGCGTGAGCCTGGTGGGCGACTCAGGGCCCCCCAAGCTTAAACACGCCGAACGCATCGCAAACACCTCAGCCCGGCACGGTAGCCCAGGGGCCTGGAAGGGACAGGGGGCCAACAAGCGGGGGGGGCAGGGAGGCAGGGGGGGGGGAGGGGGAGTGAGCTAATACTAAATCCGTCCCCCCCCCCCTCCCTAATTCTGAAATTCGCCTGGGCCCGAGAAATATTTAAAAATTAGGGCGGGTCTAAATCCTAAAACCTGAATTGCAAAACCTAATAATTATAAACCCTCCAAGCCCTGAGCCCTGGATCCTAAGCCTTCAACCCTAAACCTTGAAACCCTAATGGCTCAACTCAAGGGCGAAGGCCTTGGACCCCTCCCCCCCTAATTCTCAAACAGGTTTAGTATTGGGCTGGGTGCCGGCAGGGCCGGGAAAAATAATATTTAAAATTAGGGGGGGTTTTAGTATTAGGGGGAAGCGATTATCAGGTTCAGGTGCAGACACGAGCTCATTCAGGATGGCAGGCCCATCCCTCGCAGACTCGTCAAGGCCCAGTGAGCCACCAGAGTTTCCGCCCCAAGCGTGAGCATGTGCAAGCCAGTGTTAGACTAGACTTAGTACGATAGCCGTTCTACAAAGACAACTTTGCCAATTTACAGAAGGTTCAGTGGCCCGGGGGTCAGGCGGGCTCTTTTTTAGGGGAAAGCTTTTCGTGCCATATTTTGCGTGCGACTTCAAACTCAATGGCCCAACCCTCCCAGGGGCCCCCCCAGGGGCAACTCCCCATAAAATCCTCAAGGGGTATTATCCAAAGAGGAGTCCCCAAGTGTTTGGGGGGAGGAGGCCCAAACCTTCAGACAGGATGGCAAGTATATCTACCTGGACCGATACGACCACGACTGGGACTTTTTCGACCACCAGCTGCGGCCGTCCCTCCAGCCAGAGGTGTCGATTTGAGGGTTTAGGCTTTCAGGGCCCGTCTCGGCAAAGTTGCGTACGCCCATGCTGCAAACCCGGAATTCTTTCATCCGAAGAATTCAACATGCCCAAACCCACACCCCTTAACTTCTAAAGGAGAAGAAAAGGAAGGAGTTCACTCTACACCTTTAAGGGGTATGCCCAAGGGGTATGTTGAACATTTCTAAGACTCATGGCTTGCAGTGCGACCGCGGAATTGGATGCCCGAAACCGTACTTTGTAGGGCTTGCCTGGCTGGATTCCTCTCAACCCGAGTGCTCTTGGCACAATGAGTGGACCCTCTGCCAACACTCGCAGCCGGAGGTGGGCGCGTACGGGCGCGAACACCGCTTCCGCAGGGGCCTCGGACTGCTGTGAAGGATTTTTGGTTGGGATGTGGTAAGATTTTGTTTGGATGATAATTTTTGACATATTTTAACCAACTCCCGGAGAGGGGGCCGACGTTGGGGGGGAGGTGGGGGGGGCTGGGGATGCTCCCACACACTAAAAAAGGACCCATGCCAGGGCAAGAAAGGGCCAGATAAAGGGTTGCCAGGGGATCAGAGGTGAGGAAGCCCGAAGCCCTCAACTTTGACCTATGCCCACAACACCACGCCCCGACGTAGAAGGGGGCGGGCCTGCGCCGTTACATAGGGCTGCTACTTGGAGGTTCATGGTACTTACTAACCAATTATAACTGGGCTTATAACCCTACTTACAATTGGGATAACCCCAATAAGGCCCTTTAGGGGTATTCTAAGTAGGGTTATAAGTACAGTTCTAAGTGGTTAGTAAGTACCATGAACCTTCAAGTAGACAAAGGGTTCCAGTTACGGACAAAAGCCAAAACAAAGTTTGTGTGGGGGGTGTGAGCGGGGTGGGTGGCAAGGGTGGGGCGGTTTTGTGGTGTCGCCAACCCCCGGCCATGTCCTGTTGCTGATGATCTGAGGGACCTCCCTCTTCTCGGCTGATGTGGATCCTCTTCTGCAACGAGGCTGCTTGTCTGAGAAGTGAGGCAGCAGCCAGCAGACTGTCGCGACCTGGCTGGTCAGCACTGCACTTCACAAAGCGCACATGCCATCAAACCAAATCAAACCCATTGAGGCCTACCTGGGCTTGAGATGGAGGCGGGCAGTGCCATGGCTGTGGTGTTCTCGGGGTCGGATGCCCACGATCACAGGCCACAGATGCTTGGGACGCCAGCCCTGAGGCCAGCAGACGAGACAGCTTGCTTGTTGGTTGTGAAGTGTAGCATAGTGCCGTGGCTGCCTCCCCTGCTTCTAGGATCTGGATGCATCCGTCCCAGAGGACTGCGCAGACACGCAGCCCAAATGCTGGAATTTCGGATAGAACTAGCTATATCTGGCTGTTCGTGCTCTTCGATCTCGGTGCTCGTGGTAGCTTTGTGGGTCTGCCCGCTCTCCACTCGAGACTCACACGCCAGCAGTCCAGCTCATACTTCAAGTCGGTTCCTATAAAGATGAGAAGTGCTGAAACGGAATGCTGTGCAGTGGAGGGGAAGATGCTCGTGGGGGAGGGGATTTGCCTTCCAAGCTCTTGGGCCACAAGCCCCAAAAACCCCCAGGCTCCAAATCCCCCTTCTTCCACCAGGACTGATGGGCCATACCTCCGGCTTTGCAACAAAAAAGGCGATCTCAGCTTTCGGTGAGTGGCATTGAAATTTGAAGCCCAACTTGGGATTGATAGGGCTCTGATAGGGCTTGTAGAGCTCATGGATAGGGTTTGTAGGGCTTGTTCGGGGTTGTAAGCTCTAGGCACACACTGGGATGGGTTTGCTTGGGCTGATAAAGGCTGGTCGGGGACGTTTTGAGGGTTTATGACCGCATGTCTAGGGCTTAGACGAAAATTTAAACACCCGAGGCTTTTTCAGTTGGAGCGCTGCCACTTCAAGCTGTTTGTTCTTTACTGCCACCTAGAGGTCCTACGCTCCAAATGAAGTTCCTTTTTAAGGAATCCTATTCGAAAGATGCCTGGAAGCAGAGCGAACCTAAGTTAAGGCAACCCCCAATATTATATGGCTGCACAGCAGCTCCGACATGTCGCATGAGGGCTCAGGTGGGCCGTTTATCAGGGGATGGGCAAGATGCGATGTCTGGAAATCCAGGAGCCCGTGCCTGGCTAAGCTTCATTTCTCACACCGCTGGATTTGCGGGTTTTTTGTGAGGGGCACCCTGCCAGCGGACTTCTTCAGTCGCTGAGGTCCAGAGGATGCATGGACTCGAATAGAGTCCGCCAGCAGCCCAGTACACCAGGTGCGTTTCCCCATCAGCCATTAAATTACCTAGTCAGTCATAGAATTCCTGACGAGTCTCGAGTCACTCTGAACGCTCTGTTTTCTGCTTGCGGTGTGTCAGTCAGTCGCTCCTGTACTAGGCTTGGAAGGAATTCTTCGCATGACAGGAGCAGAACTAGGGCTTTCGTGTTGACACCAGAAATCAAAACAGTGTGTGGGGGCTTGGGCTTCGGTTTCAGGTGTTGCAAGTGCACAGGTGAACTTCCGAAACCTCAAGCACGTTGTGCCCTTCAAGCAGAACATAGGTTGCTCCAAAAATGTCTTCTCCTAAACCTTGAACCCTCAACTGCCACATCCTACCCTTCAGCCAAGGCAACGCTCTCCTCCCAAGGAGGAGGCTTGTTCGCCCCACTGGAGGAGGAACCAAAGGAGGTGTCGAGCTGCCAGAAAATTTCGGCTTTAGGGTTCCTGGTCATTCGAGGGATGTTGAGCGTTTTCGCGCCTGGTAATTGGTTTCAACTCCAGCGATGTCTGCGTCAAGTACCTATGCCCTAAGCATGATCCTGTGTTGGTTGTGATTGGGAGGCAGGGGTTTAGGAGTTTAGAAGGTTTAGCGCCTGTGTGCTGGTTGGGCCTGCAGCTGCGTGTTCTGAATCAGCAGCGTTGAAGCATGGAACGAAGCAGGTGTTCGATATAGACCAGCTGACAACCCTAAACTACCAACCCCCCAGCCCTAAACCCTCAGCCAATTCAATTCGGCTGTCGCAAAGCCTATGGCATTACCTGGCATTTTCAAATGCAGCTGCCATGGCTGTGGAGCTGAATGGCTGTGCATTGGAGGACAGGCCCTGGACTTTTGTTTGAGCAAGTATACGGTCGTGTCGTTCTGTTTGTAAGGGCCAGCTGACAAAACAAGACGAGGCCCGCTGGTAGATCCCCAACAACCGACAGCTGTCGTCATGACATGCGAACTTCCTAGCGCCTGCTCCGCTTCACCACAAGTCATTGCTACGGAGGCGTCTCTGGCGGAGTTTGCACATGTGTGTGTGTGTGTGTGTGAGTGTGTGAGTGTGTGAGTGTGTGAGTGTGTGAGTGTGAGTGTGTGTGTGTGTGCGCGCGTATAAACTGTGAAATCCAAAATGGGTTCCCCTTCCTAAACCCAAGACTCTTGCAGCGACGTGCACTTGAGGAACTCCTAGCGATGGGCCTGGATCCAGACGCTGCTCGGCTCCTGGGCGAAAGCTGTGGCAGGTATACTCGTTGAAGAGTGGTTGGGTTTGGGCTTGGGTTAGGGCTTTGGGTTTTTAATTTGTTTCTACTTCTACACCCGACGAAGAAGTTGACCAACC